CAGCGGCAATCCACCTGTCACTCAAGTGGCCACGCCCTTAATTATGCAGAACTTTAAGGCTTAATATAATTTAACTGGATAAGTTATAAAAAAATTAACCCCCCTAACAGTTGTCATGAAGGGCAAAATTAGCTATATAGACCAAAATCATTTTTTGAACCAGGCTGTAAACGTTTTTTTTTCTGCTGTAAAGTTGGGCATTTTAACATGGGGAGTCTATGGGATTGACCTCCTTTTGCAGCCAGCCTCTAGCGGCCAGTTGATGAATTACAGAGAGCGGGAGGTTGCCACTTGATCTTATCATATCTTTTATACTAATAGTTGTATCTGCTATGTCTCTTTCTTTCAGTCTGTACACTTGGTTAGTTTTAACTATACTCGGCGTGACTTCCTTCAATCTGTTGGCTAAAATTTTAGATAAAATCTTTAAATGAGTATTCAGCATTGTAATCGGTCTGTAGTTCTTTAAATCTGTCTTCTCTCATTTTCTCTTGTATATCAACTTCATTAAACCCATTCCCATTCTTTGATTTAATTCTCCTTAAAAACATCTACATATACTTCTTTTAAAATGCTAGTTTAAAAAATCTTTAAAAACTATATAAAATTCACTCCCCAAACCATCTATACCTGGACTTTTCTTTTTGTTTAATTCACTTATTGTTCTTTTTATCTCATCTTCTCTTATCTCTTCATCACACTCTTTTTTTGTCTACTTCTCCTACTGTTGCTTTTATTTGCTTCAGTAACTCCAGTTTCTCTTCTTCCCTCACCCCCTCTGCACTAAACAGGTTCTCATAGTATTCTTTTATTTCTTTTAATATTTCCTCATTTGTTTCCACAACTACACCATTTTTTCCTCTTATTGCTTTAATCATTTCAGCTTTCCCTCTTCTTTTTTTCTAGATCAAAGAAAAATGTACATTTTTCGGCCTCCACGGTATATTTAGCCTTACTTAGCCTCGCACCTTCATATTTTTCCTCTTCCATTTCTTTCAATATTCCCTCCAATTCTTTTATTTTTTGTATATCTTTTCCGTTCTCAATTAATTCCTTTTCCACATTTTCCCTTATTTCTCTTGCTTCTCTGTATTAACTTGCAGTACTTTATTGTGAATGTTTTAACTAAATATTTAAAATTTTCCCACCATATTCTTTTTTCTTCAGTGTACATCTCGTTCTCCTTTTCTTTTTCAATAATTTATTTAATACTTAACACATAATCCTCATTCTTCAAAATCTCTGTATTTAAAACCCATATGTAACCGACTTTTATTTTGACGGGTTACCCCATTTTCAGTATGTTTGCGGGAGATGCAAAGACGTCTGGGAAGAAGAAGAGTGAGAGACGTTACGAGCAGACATGCCAGACATTTGTATAATATAAATAATTAAGTAGGCCATGTAAGAACTGCTTATGGTAATAGAAGGGATGATACCGTTATATCTCGATTGAGAATTGGACACTCTACTCTTAATAAATCACTCCAGATGATAGGAAGACATGAATCTGGTCAATGTAATCATTCCACTGTAGAGCATGTGCTGATTAACTGTAGGGCATATGAAAGGGAAAGAATACAGTTAAAAGAGGAATTAAAATCTGCCGGCATTAAAACACGCCGTGATCGCTGTGTGAGAAGTCTGTATTTTTCCGCCTGAGATTTAATGGAAGACGGTGGTATACGGTCAGTTAAGTTTCGTGAGTTTAGTGCACACTGACATTATCGTGTGAAACTGGAGACGTAGTTGAAGCAGAAGTTTGGTTGAGTGCGTCATCGGATGGAGAGCGGTGTTGGAGACTGGCTGAGAGCACGAAAGAGAGAGTTGCTGGAGCTGTGAGTTACATTCAGAACACTGTTGTGTTTTGCATCATTCGACTGTAAGCATTTTTGACAGTTCTGCTGTCTTATAGAGCAAGAGACATTGATTTCCTTCTTGCGAGTCACTTAAGTGCACTTGTTAGTGTGCGAGAACACGTTTCTGAACTGAACAATAGATTTCTACGGAGTTATTTATTTTTTTCGTTTCTTTTTTTTTATATTTTTGCACTTTTGGGAGAGACTGAAATCGTTACGATCAAGTTTTACTTTTGAAAATCCCTTTTTGAGAAGCACTGCAAGTCAGAGCCTGTTTAGGTGTGTCGTGTGCGTCCCGTGGTTGAGCGCCATTTTGTTCCAGAGTGTCACGAATCCGGTCCGTGGCCTTCTGTGTAGTGTTAGCGATAGCTGCATTACCGAGCCTAGTGTCTTGTTTTCTTCGTCTTGCCTTGTCTGTTTTCCCGTGTTCTGATCACTGCCTGTGTACCTGGATTATCCCTCGAGTCTCGCCCAATTGGATACTGTTCGCCCCTGCCTGGACCTTTGCCTTGTACCTGGATTATCCCTCTTGCCTTGCCATCAATCTACCTGTTTGCCATTTTCTGACCTATGCCTGTTTTTGACCACGTCTCTGTTAATAAAGCCTTGCAGATGGATCCGCACGCTTTCTGTGTTCCCTCCGTAACACAGAGAGTTCCCAAGTTTTTTTCCTGGGCCATGCTGGAACGTCTCTTGTTTTTTGTTTATTACCCTGCCATCCTTACGACATCTCACTGTCCTGTCTCAGCTGTTTGTCTCATTGTTGCAAGTCATCGCATCCAAGTCATCGTTGCTACGGGCTGGTACAATAGTTTTGTTACACACACACACACACAAACACTTTACTGATATTGATTGAACCGAACTAAGGGTTTGGATGAACTGAGAGTGTCAATTTGAACTGTGACTGGGATAACTGAGTCAAAAGGAATTTCATACGAATCGTTTGAGTGAGTCATTCGGAGTGAATCATTCGAAGTGAACTATAAGAGTTTATGTGATCCATCCAGTGTTGTTTGTAAATCAGTTTGTGTCGTGATATATTTTGTGAAATTTATATTTGAGGTGTTATACAGAAGTGTTTGAAATTGTTAACTTTTTGGAAGGTTTACCAAGGTGGAAAAGAAATGCCAGAGAACTTGTTTTATTATTTTTATTTTCATTTGATTATTTTATTATATTGAAACAAATCAAAAAGACGAAAATCCAGTCAAACATATATATGAACGCGCTGTTGCACCTCTGAGAACTTTTAAGGCTTATTCTGTGGCGTTTATTTAAGCCTTTTGACGGGTTGTGTCACGGAGCTGAAAAAACAGTTATGCTCACCAAGTGAATGAATCGCGTTTGTGCCAAACTCTTATTACAAAGCAAAAACAAACGCTCTTCTTCAATCCGTGAATGTTTCTCTTAGTTAATGTGCGCGATGTCATCTCACAGTCTGAAACGTCTGTCATATCAGATCAACACATGCTGTTGTGAATAAGCGCAAAAAAAGCTTAAAATTAACCAGTTTTCTCCAACAGTTAAAATTATCGGATGCTAACATTGTCTTCTATGATGTGCAACACAAACACCTCTGCTAAAATCTCAGAAAAAGTAGTCTGGGGTTTCATGACCCTTTAAGGAAAGGAAAAATAAGTTAGTAATTGTTAAAAGCAATACAGTTGAAAAGTTGTTTTTTTTATTTTTAATTTTTACTTGGAGTAGGGGTGTCTCACTTGAACTATTAGGTTTAGGTGGGTGGGAATTTGAATTTGAGTTGTCACTTTACATCACATGTTCATACTTCAGGAAGCCACCGTATTGACACCTACTGACCTGAAGCCTACACTACCTATTCCTGTAGTATATTATATAATAGCGTAAGATAAAACATACACACATTGTGCATATTGAGACTCAAAGCACCAGAGTGGGGACCAAGATCCTTTCACTCTCAAATCTTCCAGGGTAACATTTTCATTTCCCCTACGGAACGAGACTTGCAGTTTTGTTACATTTGGCATCACAAACAGGATAGAATGTGTGTTTACCTTTTTTTTTTAATGCGTGTCACGAGTCCCAGGCATACAAGCTGAAGAATGGCAGAGCTTGTGGAACTGAAGAAGGAGATGGCGGAGATACAGAGGCGATTTGCAGAGCAGGCGGGAGCGCTTGAGCAAGCCAGAACTGAACAAAGAGAAGCCCTGTCACTAGCAAGAGCTGTCATTGAGCATCAAGCCATCGCACAATCGACCCCAGCTGCCATTTATATACCCAGGGACAGAAAACTTCCAAAGTTCTGCGGCCGTTCAACAAATACAGGAGAGTTATGCATCGAAGAATGGGTTGCATGAATGAAATCTGCCTTCCATGTAATGAGAGTACCTGCAGAAGATCGTGTAGAGTTAACTAAACAGCATCTTAAAGATGAAGCCAAAGCGACTGTGAGGTTTATGTTGGGTGACGGTGAAAGGTCTGCTGACGATATCTTCAAAGTCCTATTAGACACATATGGAGACAAAGTGCCAATCGGAACCAGACTGAGATTTCTACGAGCATAAGCAAATGCAAGGAGAGACGATACGCTCATACGCGTATGACCTACAAGAGAGACTCAGCCGAGTTCAGCGCAGGGAGCCAAGCCGTGTTCCAGATGCCAAAAGTGTGTTAAATGAGCAGCTTGTCCTGGGCCTTCGAGATGATTTCCTGTCAAGTGAAATGAAGACAAGTTAAAGAGGACACGATTTTGACTTTTGTTCAGGTAATGCAAGCAGCAATCACCTGGGCTGAAGAAGAAGAGACACAAACTCCAAACAATCCAAAACCCAGCCCCCGTGTCAGAGTAGTTAATGTTGACGCAGAACAAGCTTCCTCTACATTAACTCTGGAAAATCAGCATGAAGCCATACAAAAGATTGCTGCCCGTCAAGAAGAACTTTACCAGGCCAGAGCCGTCCAAAAAGACAACCCCTGAAGGACAGCGATGGCCGATATATCTGTTATTCGTGTGGTGAACCTGGGCACACTAGTAGGCGCTGTTCACAAGGTGCTGAGGTAGCTATGGTGTCTGATCAGTCTCGACGTTCTACTGGGATGGCTGAAACTAACATAGGAAACGTTCCAACAAGCAGGACACAAGCCAGCTCTGGGCCGTCTATGATAAGAAGCCATACAGCTGAAACAATTGATGGAGTGACCGAGGCATTGAAAAGAGGTGCATTTGGGGATTGTCTGACTATTGAAGTAAGCATAGCTGGTGTCAAGACAAACTGTTTGCTGGATACAGGCTCAGAAGTGTCCACCAATACAGACTCACACTTTAGGAAGTACTTCGGAGAACAAGAGCTGAAACTCTCGTCTGCTCACTGGGTAAGGCTTACTGCAGCTAATGGGCTCGACATTCCATTCCTAGGATGTTTACACGCTGACGTGGAGTGCATGGGGAAGGTTCTCCCAGGGAAGTGCATCTTTGTGCTGACAGATACCAGCCCAGAAGCAGAAGAGATGAGAGGACTGTCAGGAATCATCGGAATTAATATTATCAGTGAGTTTAAGTCGTTGTTCGCCACAGGAGAGGGCATAAAGACAGACAACAAGTATGGACAACCTGCAGAAGCAAAGATAGGAAGGGTTTCAGCAAGTGTCAAAAAAACGGAATCCCTGGATCCTGATGGAAAGATTGGATTCATCCACCAACTTTGAAGGCAGGCCATCACCATTCCCCCACTAAGCGAAAAGGTGTTCGAAGGCTGTTGCAGAGTGCCACCTAAAGTGAAGTGCCAGGTGTTAATTGAGCCCACCGCTGGTGAAAGTCTACCCAAGGGGCTCCTAGTGGCCAATGTGCTAACTGAGGATACACTGGAGTTTGAAGAAGAGGAAGGGGTGCTTTATGTTAGACGAGTAGCACACATTCGAGCGGTCGCGACCTCTGACAATCCACCAGTTCCAGTCCAGGTGAATTATGAAAAGCTCACCCCCATACAGAGAGAAACTGAAGTGGCTGTGCAAGCATCCATCAAGAAAGTAATGAATGGTTACAACTGGGATGAAATTAGAGCGTCGCAGAGAAGTGATCCCGTGATAGGTCCCATATACCATGCTGTATACAAGAACGAAAGACCGAGCCGAGCAAGACCGCAAAGCATGCTGCCAGAGTTGAAAAAGCTTTGCAGAGAGTTTGAACGTCTTGCTGCATCAGGGAGTGATGTTTAGATGTATCCTTGACCCAAGGGATGGAGAGAAAATAAGGCAGCTAGTTGTTCCAGTCTCCTTACGCCGTTCAGTTTATGACAGCCAACATGAGCATGGAGGTCATTTTGGAGAGAGGAGTACTATTGGCCAAGCATGTCTAAAGATGTCCAAGGATGGATAGAACAGTGTAAAATATGTACCCTTGCGAAGGATGTCTTTCCAAGGATCAGAGCTCCGATGACATGTAGCAATGTCATGGCTCCTCTAGAAGTTCTGGCAATGGACTACACCTAGCTGGAAATGTCCTCACGAGGATATGAAAATGTACTTGTTCTGACTGACATGTTCACCCGATTTACAGTTGCCGTCCCGACCAAGAACCAAACAGTGAGTACCACTGCAAAGGCCCTCATCAAATATTGGTTTGTCTACTATGGCTGTCCAGCATGTCTGCATTCGGATCAGGGAAGATGTTTCGAAGCGCAAGTAATCAAGGAACTCTGTAAAGTGTATGGTATCTGGAAAAGTCCCTACCATCCTCAAGGAAACTCTCA